GTCAGGTAAGGTTAATAACTAGAAGGCTAGATTGTCCTGTGAACCGTAATAAAGCCAGCTGAATAATTGGCCGCCGCACAGCAAAAATATGCCAGCATAATGGTGGAAATGATCTAGTGCATGGCTAATGGTTTCTAATGTTTCACAATTTAAACGGGGACACGAGAGCAACATCTCTTAAACGAGTGCCGTGAGGATCGCAAAGTCGGTATGTAGGCCTGCATATTCATTGTGTGCTTGTACATGCATCACCGGGATCATTAGCAGACCGTGTTGTCTACATTTCGCAGGTAAGTTCAAACTACATGAGCTTTTTTTTTTTTAAAACAAACTCCATGTGGAGAGTGTTTGTGTGTGAATCGGGGGAGTTGCGGCACAAGTGAGGAAATTAGAATTTCATGGTTGAATTTAGGTAATTACAGCCCAGAGCCATTTAACTTCTGTTGACTTCCAGTCCCCAGCCAGACAGCAAATCCAAGGTTATTCCAACAGAGCTGGCAGTAATTATAAACTGCAAAGCCAATTCCCAGCTGTCTGGTGGGCGATGTGTGAAAAGAACCAACATTAGGGTTCCCCTTGCTGTTAAACCGTAGAGCAAGAATCCAGACAAGGGAGTGTTCATGTATGTATAAATGTACATGCATATAAACATGTATCTGTGCTTGTACAATATGTCTACGCATGGTGTGAGTGAGCATTCAACCTGCCCCGTGCTGTGCAACCTACATCCCTTGTGGCTTGTCTCTCCCCTTGACATACATTCCACACATTTCACAGTGGTTGACCAACAGTCCAGCGGTGACCTCAGATGAGGTAATCGGAGCAGCCAAGTGCACAGGGAGCCAGTGACCTCGTTCCGGGGTCAACTGACTGGTAGCCTGTCTGGTGGTACTGTGTGTGTTGTCATGGTGTGTCAGCAGTGACCAGTGGTTGACTTCTGATAATGTGTCACTCTGAATGGGTTTCCCACAGCAGGTACAACACACTGCAGTGTACAGAGCGATCATGTTCACTGCGTGGTATGTGTTGTACAACATGCATTTCTGGAGATTTTACAGGAGTGTTAGAGTCGTGTAGAAACACAGCTGCTGGTGAAACACACCACTACTGGAAATCAAATACCATTTCCTTTGTATAAGGACATACATGTACTGATGTAGTATTTTCATATTGTGAGAAAAGAATTGAATTGTATGGAAATGAATTGATTTGAAAGAACCTATAGTGCCGGACTTGTATGAGAGTCGTTCTATTGCCCTTCATTTTGCATAAAGGGGGTTCATATTTATGGCTAGTCGACTTGGGCTTCAATCAGCATACATGAATGCGTGAAGCTGACAATGGTTTGTGTAGGCGACTGCTGCCATGCGTGTCAAAAGTCAACCCTCCTGGATTCCTGTCTGCAGCACAGTTGAAAGTCATGGTCAATGCTGCCTCACTTCACAAGGGCCAGCGTTGTGTTGTCTTTCACTTTGCGGGCTCTCTCTGTCCTCGACCAATCAGCATCATCTGTTAACAATCATTGCGGGCTATACTCCCATTTGTCACATTCCGCAAAATCTTGGCCTGTCATTAAAGACGGGGAGCTGTATGGTTACTAAATGTTGACATTACAGCAAGAGTTACCCAATGGGCAGCCATGAGGGGCATTCGGGGAAATACTGGTTGATGGGGAAACAAATATTTATAGCAACTTGGAGGCGTGCCAGCGATGGCAATTTATGTTGCTGGTGAAGATGAAATATGGAATTCAGTTTGTCGTTAGTGCCCACTGAATCACTGAGAAAAATTAAGAAGTCCAGTTTTCTGAATGACAAAAATGATAGCATATTCTACTAAGAAATGGTGTTCTGTAGTTGTATGATGTCATTTGTACAAGTTATATGTGTCGATACTGGTTGTGTTTTTTACTGACAGCAGGCAGGGGAGTTTGTGTACTAACTTTTGTAAAGGACTGAATTGGTTGGTATGGCTCATCAAAATTGGGAGGTTTTGCATGGTGGCAAAGGGCAGAACCTTTCGAACGGACAAAAGGTATAAACCAAGTTGTGTATAAATGTATGATCGTTGTGTTCTGACAAGGTTCATGGAATTAGTAGTTTGATGGCTCAATTTACTTAGACGCAGGACAACAATTGTGGGTCGGGAATGGAGGAGAAAGGAAATTTTGCCATAACCGCCAAAGTTGTACATGTATAATTCATTGTACAACAGCCTGAGGGCAAATTGGTCCTGTGTATATGTGTACTATTGATGTAGTTTAATACACACTGTGCCTTTTTTTTTTTTTGTGGGTCTAAGCGGTTTTTATGCCATCTTTGATAATTGAAAGCAAAGTTATATGCAAATCGGCGAAGTGAGTGAATGCCCCGCTGTGTGCACAGCACAATTGGGGGATCAGGTCAGCATTGTGTTTGGGGGCAGGCTGAGTGAAAGGAACTAGCATTTACCCAGCAGGTCACAAGATTTCTCCCCCCCCCCTTTTTTTTTTTAAAGTCAGTACATTATGTGCATCAGGACCATGCACGCATTAATATGGTAAAGCTGGCATCATCTAGGGGCCTGGTGTGACAATGGGCCTTACACAATTCATAGACAACCTGTGGTTTTCTGGAGGGCTGATTGTGCTGTGGTTGTTGAAGGCAAATGTGATTTTACATGTACATGTACCTGATTCATCAGATTAAACTATTTGTACTCAATCTAAATCTATATCTAGTTCCAAATTGCTTTATCAGTAAAATAGCGAAAAACCTTGCAAGCCCTGTTAGTTTTTTTTCGCAGTTATTTTATATGATGATATCGGCCTGCAGTATCTCGCGTTATCCAAAATTCACCTGCTGGGATGACGGTGTTTTATTTGCTTAGTTCTCAAACCCGACTTAACAGTCAATATTCGTGTGTGTTCATTTAATGAGCAGGCTTGCATTTTTGAAATAGTGCAAGTCATTCCCAGCTTGTAGTTATCTTGTGTTTGATCATAAGACGAGAGATTTCAGTGTAAACCCCAATCCGTATCTTCTCTGTTGAGGATGTCAATGCTGCTTAAGCCCTCACAGATCCCCCTCCCTGTTGTAATGTCTGGTACATGATCCAATCCTCCAGTGACCTTACCACAACCAAAGATGTATAATCCCCCACTTATTGTGCTCATCCTCAACTATTTACAAGTTCATTGTTTGTGGCATCAGCACTTTCTATCCATGCACACCCCCCCTCCTTTTCCCCCTCCTCCAGTCCTTTGTTTGATCTTCCCTTTCTGATTCTAATCCTGCAAGAACATCCTGTTGTCTGGGAAGAAGTCCTGGGCTGATATTCGTTACGTCTGGAAAGAATGACTACGTTGTTCATCCTTAAAAGTAGGGTTGACGTGTCTGGAACAAGATTAGGTCTCGGAACAAGATCACGATTGAGAGATATGCTTTTTTTTCCCCTCAAAAAAGCCTGTCAGACATGTACTCGTGACCCCTTGTTATTGACCATGATTGTGTCTTGAGAATGTTGGGCTGAGGAAGTACAATTAATCTTTGAGAACTGAGATTTTTTTTGTTCGCCGGATACAGAGCAGAAGTCTTCACAGAAATGAGAACTTGCCTGCTGTTTTGTGTAAGGTTTTGTGTTATTCTACTGCTTCACCTTGTTATCAAACAGTTAAGCAGATTGTGAACTCTCTGCTAGCAGTCGGGCCATAACCTAATCGCATAACAGGCATTGGGATTCTGATTTTGTTGTGTTTGATTTCCTTTGTGATTTCCTTCAGAAAGTTGGCGGTTTATCTGGGCATGGTCCTTGTACGATTGTAGGCGGCCTATTCTGGCCCCTTCATTTCTTGGGTGATCAATCAGTGATCATTTGAACTCCAAATGCCATGAACACAACTTCATGTACCATAAAGACAAGATGAAAAAAAAAGATTATTGATGGTGCAGTTTTGCCTTGCCAAAAATCAGCCCATCCGGTTTCATTATCTGTATCACCTTAATTGTTCCTTATCAACCCCCAACATAACTCTAAATTACACAATCATGTCCCACCTTTGGAACTCTCTTAGTTTTCCACGCAGTATCACTGCATCTTTGAACTTGTCTCATTGTGTGGGGATAATGGACGCCGGTTAATGATTGACCACTAATTATTGACAGAATTAAGCACCGCTATCTGACGAGAGGCGCCAAAAGAATATTAAAAAAAAAAAAAAATTAGTGGGTTTATTAGTGGTGGCTGAGTTTTTTGCTTTTAATGTTCAGCAGTTCTGTTTACGCATCGGCGTGTCTGCCAGCAATTAGTTGATGACGGTCTAGCATGAGCTGTGTTCAGCTTTTCAGTTTCAGTCAAGTTTAAAATTATCATTAGGACTCTTTGTTCTGAGGGTAAGCTTCTCTCCTGACTTTTGTTGTTGCTGTTGTTGTTGTCTCCTAAACTTTTTTTGGGTACCCATGAAAAGGGGTGTCATTTATCAAACGTGTCTGTGAAAAGTTAACAGCATATTTGCTAAAATCAACACTAGCACTTACCCACTAGCTGGATTTTTCATGCTGCTGGTTGCTACCACACTTGACAGTGCGGTGAGTGGTCTTGGGTTCTGTTCCAACCCAAGCTTGACAGTGGAATTTGAATTGTGTGTGTGCACCTATGGATGTGTATGTGAATTGTCGTAAAGAACATCAAGATTGTCAAGACCGGGTCGTACTCCATTCAAATGCGAAGGTGAAGCAAAGTTGACGTCACAAAACATTTGCTGCGACATTGGTCGTGGTTGAAATGTGTTCAACCTTTGCGAGTTTGTAGCCGGAATATACATGTTGTGATTTCATAAATTTGCATTCGCATTCGCTTTCATACACCGGCCTTCAACTTGATTTTCCTGCCAAATTCAATGCGAAAATATGAGATGAAGGACAATACTTAGAAAGCATCTTGAAAACCTGTGAGAAGATAACATTAGAGTTGTTTTTTATCTCATATTCATCTATCTTGTTGTTTTGTTTATCTCTTTTCAGATAGACGTTTGTGACGGGCTGATATCTCTGTGCATTTGCAGCTGACCACTAGACAAAAAGTAAGTATGCAAAGAAACATGTTTAACATACCGGTAGAATTTGACAGCTTTAGTACTTGGCACTGTTGATTTGGTACAAAAGCTAGTCATCCTTGTGATTTTCAATTTGGTCTTTTATTGTGAATAAGGATTTTTTCTGTTGATCAGTGTTTAGTTGTTAAAAACCCAAGGTAAAGCACAATGTCAATTTTGAAGATGGCAAAAAACATGCAAGACCGTCACTGGATACTGGTGAATAAAAAATCAACCTGCATCTTCTATTCAAATTTTTGTAATGAAGAAAGGTCTCCACCTGCAGGTCTCATCTGAAAGACATATTCACGAAATGGCCCCTATAAATTATCCCCCTCTCCTGAACTACCTTGGCCCGGCTCTGCAGGCAGAATGTGTAATCATGTTGCCCGTCGGGCAGGGTGGGTTAGGCGGGGTACCGGGGAAGAGAAATGTTTCAAGCTTTTCAGCAAGATAGCAAAGCCAAACAGTCCACGGTGCGGCAGTGTACTCCCCGTATCGCTGCCCCAACCGTACCCTGGGGTCATGGCGGAGTCCAGGAGTAGTATCAGCCGCTGCCTCCGCTCGGCTCCGCTGCCGTTATCGTGGGCTATTAACGGTTGACAAGTAGGCCATGTCTAGTAGCGATCATGCTGAACTTGAAGCAAGCTTAAGGGCTTATGTGAATACAAGTCTTGCATGTGATTTCCTTGGGCTGGGGAAAAAAAATTGCAATGGCATGGCCATGGCCTGTGAAACCTTTAAAAAATGAAATGGAAAAAAAAAGAATATTGAAGACAAACAGTAGCAAGTACTGACAGATGGGAACACACTTTTGCGTTAATCACTCGAAAGTGAAGACAAGGGACAGATAGATGACCATGAATATTCAGAGTTCTTGCCACTTAGAGGTGCCTGCCTTGAAGCTGAATTGTTAATGACCTGCCATTTCCTGACAAGGTAGATGGCAGTTTTAGTCTTTTTTTATTTAGGATTTTTTGTTGGTTCATCTTTTTAAAAAAATGGCTTTTATTAGATTAATTGATTTGTTTTTTGTTCTGCCAGAAGTCAAACTTGGGAAGGAGCAATTTTTATTAATTCCAGACAAGGGAAACAAGATGTTTGTCGTCAAATTTGTAGTGTACAGCAGGATAAATTAGTGGTCAACTCAAAATCCATGGTTGTCAAGTAGAACCCTAAATTTGTTGATAACAAAAGTGATTCACCCTCCATGCATCCATGCAGCATATGTGGCTCATTTTTTAACAATTTTAATGACCTCCCAATTTATAACCTTATCTCGGCGCTTTTAATTGGGGCCAAAGTGTAGGCATTGCCCATAAAACAAAAAGGACTAAGCAAGTCAAAAAGCTTAATGGGACCAAAGTTTGAGAAATCATCTCCAAATGGGGAATCTAGTAAAGTAAACAGCGGGCACAAAAGCTTGCCATGGCAGGACCTGGCACTCCCCTGGCCTAATTAGGAGTCTGGTGTAAAATTGCAAGGGGGGTACGGTTATTTAAGTACCATCATCAGCCGCAAATCATTTGGCCGCCACATCCTTTTTTTCGACATTGTTCAGCTTAGTTTATCTGTCAGTCGCACTTGACCCAATATCAATACTTGTTTTATGCGCTTGTTTGTTGTGGGCCCAGTCCCAATAAGCTTGTACATGTACTTCAATTTTAATATGGCTGACATCTGTAAATGAGATGGCCATGTAAATTTGGGTGTTGAACATTTTTGTGCGCTCTTATTTATTTCCCGAACAGATGGTCAGCATGAATTTGTCAGTTTTTTGTAAATGATAAACCAAGGTGGTGTGAAGGCGTCACTTGTTTTTTTTTAAAGATACACAGAAGCTGTTGCTAGTTGCAGGGTTTGCCCTTTCAAAAAGAAAAAAATACAAAGAGTGAACCATGACATGTTGGGATTTGAAATATCAGGAAAATGGTGATGAAGTCCAGTTGTTCTCATTCATAATTAGTAAGACATCATCTCTCTCGGGGGCCTCTCCCAAACTCCAAACAAACCCCCCCCCCCCTTCAACCCCAATCCAGAAAAAAATCTGAAAATCAAAGAAATTTGTAGATTTGGAAATAAATAACACGGGCTATTAAATATGTGGAAGCGTGGAATTTTCAACCAGGAATTAATACTGTACAAGTAAAAATTAATGTTAGGGCATTAAGTTTGGGTCCTTGATGTTTTGAGCTTGATGATTCTGTGTGTTTGTTTGCGATATCTGGAAAGATCTTTCCTTGATATTCACTTGAGGTCACTGAAATGGGTCTCACACAGCAGAATTTTTATTTTCGTGAAGTGAAGATAAAATGAAGTGAAGCCAACATGAATTTGTTACAAAATTGCAGACAAGAGTCCTTACCTTTTCTCGACACACTAATCATCTGGACTTGTCATTCAGCAGATGCAACAGCCAGCCAAGCACCACATTTATGAAGTGTTCTGGCACATTGAGATGGAACTGGGCATGGGTCGTAGTGGAGAAAGATGAAAAGAAAGAAAAAAACGAATGGGGGTGATTTTTTTTTTTTCATTTTTAGATTTAATAATTTTTGTAATCTTTAATGTGTCCACAACACATCTTTTAAAGTATAAAAATCGTGGAATAAAAGTGTTTTTAAATTTAATGAAAAACAGTTGGCATCTTCCATTTTCACGAAAACAAAACTCAAAACTTGTATGGCTTTTTTCTCAGTATTCTACTCTTAATGACATGTCGATAAATATGAACTTTAAACAGCCATAATTTGCCAACGGAATGTCCAATTCAAGTGCCTCAAACAGTATTGTAAGGGGAATTTTATTCTCTTTCCTAATAACTGCAAAACCTCATTTCGACCTCAGCCCAGTTCTGTCTCATTTTACCAGAACACCTCACATTTTATCAAGATTTTGCTGTGGGCAAAAAAAAAACCAAGAGAGAAGCAAAATGAGGGTAGGTGGCTCAGTGGCTGGTCAGTTGATACAATTCTATGTCAGTGACCTTACCCCAGGCCTCAGAGTTACTGGACAGGGGTCACAATACCCTTTTTGTCTTTGGGAGGGCGGAGAATGTGGCCACATTTTTTATAATTTCACACCGGTTCACTGTGTTTCCCAGCAGGTGATCTCGCCTACGATTACATGTCTACTGTCACTGCTTTGGGATCGTGATTGTGTTGAAAATTGTGATTGTGCTGGAAATTGTGATTGTGCGTCGTAAATTGACCCCAGACCAGCAGTGAAAATTAATCATCCAACCTAACTGGCATTTTTACAAAAAATAATAATATATTTAAAATCCATACATGTGTGTTGTTTGTCTTGCAATCTGAGGACAACATGGTTCTTGTTTTCCCTTGAAGCCCCATGTTCACAGTGCACAATTAGATTCAAATACCGGAAAAATAGCTAACAACAAACACGACTGCTGTAATTTCACGGGGGGGGGGAGCAAATGATTTGGTCATTATGCCATTGTTTGAAATAAACCATCCCACAGTTTTTGTGTTTATCAGGAAGTACATCTGCATCGTAAGAGTGTGTGACGTGCACGTGTACATGTAGACCTAATTAAGGCACTCTGACCCCTTCATTAGGGAGTTTCACAACACACTTTTCTGTTTCTCAAGAGAAAAGCACAAAAGAAAGGGTCCGCTTGAGATAAAAGCACAGGTTTCTTCTTGAAGATAAGATGTGATTTGCCTTGTTTGTGTAATCAAGTTTCACAAGAGTTTCCTGTCCCGCAGTGCTATAATTGTTCAACCATCCTGCTTGGATCCCGCTGTTTCAAAAGTGATTCCAATCATATTCCTTACCCCCGGGCCGTTTTGAAGAAGAAGAAAAGAAGGGGGAAAAAAAGATTCAGTTAGCCAAAGAAAAAGAATTAACCAGAGGGAAAGAAATTACCAACTGGAGATGGAAGGCAAAAGACTTGGTAAGACCCAGCAGGGGGCGAGAAGTGATTTTGATTTAATCACGAGAGTGTAATTGAAAGGGGTTAGAAGTGTAGAAAAGGAAAAATTATAAGATGAAGAAAAAAACTTGGACCACCAAAGGGAAAAAAAAGGGGGGATTAGAAACTACTAGGATCTTGTTTGGATTGTTTGAGGAAAGATATGGACGTATTCACACGGTCTGGTATGTGTTACCCCACAGGGTATTTCACTCACGCCCACTCATTTACAAAAAGAGGGATCAGTCTGTTTTTAAGCAGCATGGATTTGTTTATTTGTGTGACATGTATCTGAGGACTTTTTAGCACTTTGTTTTGAAGTGTGAAATCGGTTTTATTTTGTTCAAGGGTAATGGCACCTCTGCCAGTCCAAACTTTCTTTTGTTGTGTTTTTCATAAAATTACTTTGGCATTGCAAGTACTGAAAGTGAAACACCATCAGTGAAAGATAAACATCTTAATTGATTTGTAGGAAAATGAGGGCCCATTGAGCGGTTGTTAGTCTCTGTGGCTTTTCTGAAAATGGGAAAACCAGAGAGAGTTCCTTGAATCCGGGAACCTTGCGGAACAGCTTTAGCTGATTGATAACAAATGGAAATGGGAATGTCGGGCTTCAAACAGTCATCTGAATGGTTCAGTCTCAAGGTTAACCAATGAGCAGTCGTGAATTATGCCAACTTCACTGAGTGGTCAGGCAGAAATCTGGCTAGGTTATGGACTAAACTAAATAAAATCTCTGGCCCATTTATACAGTGTTGATGACAGTCACATGGAAGATGTAAGTAATTTCTGCACAGTTCAGTGCAGGCTTTCTGAATACCACTTGAATTCCCCTTTTATAGTATTGGTATTCTCGTGGGGCTCCATGATATTCCAGTCATAAATTCTTGTTTTCAAATTCACTGGGGGGGGGGGGGGGGGGATCGGCAAACTAAAATTGGATGTGAATTTGTCCCTAAATTAAAAACAAAACAAAGTGGGCTGCCAAGTTGCAGAGGGGTTTATGATATTTGCATATGTAATTTGCATAATTGACCCAAAAAAAAGATGT